GGCACCTACTTTTCCAGCCTTGTCAGCACCTGTCACTCAGCTTTGCGGAAATTATGGGCATTTATGTCGAAGATTTCTGGTGAAGTAGAAAGCACATGAATCTTACTGTTCAATCACCCACTTCCCACACGCAACATTAGCTCATGGGTACCACAGATAACTTTGCCAAAGTTCTCTGACAAAGTTGAGACACGTGAAGCTTGCAGCTCCCACTACACCGCTCTGACCAAGAAGGGTAAAAGAATAGCAAAGAAACAGCACTAACAAAGTTTAGACACATAAATTTTGAAGGTCTAGCTACCATATTATTACCTAAAAGGGTAAAGGAACAGTACCACTGCTGCATAATTAGAAAGTCCCTGTGTGTCAACCTCTGTGCTTCGTGGCAAGATAGACTAGCAAACATGCCCAACCTTTTCTCACATTCTAGAAAACACTCCCAACAAGATTGCTTGCTCCAAAATCGAAGAGGCACCGCCCTCCGAATCTCGAGAGCCAGACTCCCAACATGATTACTTTCTCAAAAATCGAAGAGACACCGCTCTCCGAATCTCGAGAGCCAGACCCCTAGCAGGATTGCTTTCTCAAAAATTGAAAAGGCATCGTTCTCCGAATCTCGAGAGCCAGATCTTCGACAGGATTGCTTGTTCGAAAACCAAAGAGGCACCATTTTCCCAACTTCAAGAGCCGGATCTCCTTGGAAAAAGCTTGTCTGTAATCTTTACACGCAACATCAGCTTTCCAGATACCACAGACCACTTTTTCAAAGTGCTCTGACAGAGTTAAAACATGTGAAGCTGGCAGCTCCCACTACTGTGTTATGACCAAGCAGGGTAAAGGAATAGCATTACTACTTGTTGTTAGGGAGACTCCTATATATGTTGACCTTCATCCCCAACATACAGGCAGACCTGCAAAAATGCTCAACCCTTCCTCATATCTGAGAGGGCACTCCCAAAGAAGCCTTTCGAAATATTCAGCTTTCTTTCCCCCCGATAATACCTCTGCAAACAAGCTATACTAGAGCAAGAATATCTCATATCATCAGGGTTAAAAGCAAAAGTATCCCATATCATGTTTTTTCCCTGTCTTTTCCTTTGGCCTTGTTTTTACCTGCAAGACAAGGAGAAAGAGAGCAATCAGTCAGCACTTGGAATCAAGCTTCCAGTCAGGAACTGACTGCCTGGAACCCCTTACTTGATTACTTACTTGGCATTACTCTCGAGTACTCATCTTCAACATCTTATACTTCCAGGGAAGATACCGCATCTGCTTGAGGAACAGATAGGGCAAGTGAGAAGGATACAAGGAAGCATGTGGAGACAAGCGTAACAGCACACGTGTCGATACATCCACTACTCTGTCAAAAACAAAAGTATCCCATATCAGCAGGGTCGAACGTACTATAGATTTGATGGACTTGTTTTGACCCTCAAATTCTTCAGTCGGCCTTATACTCTGGAGGAAACCAGAAAACCCTCCAGCCTAGTTCAAGAATAAGCCTGTGGAAAGTTACTTCTTTAAAAGCAAAAGTATCCCATATCATCTCTTCTCATTTTTCTTTTCTTTATCCTTCATGCTGCCTGCAAGATAGGAAGAATGTGAACAATCAGCCGGAACTCGAAATCAAAGTTCTGATCTGGGACTGATTGCTTGGAGCTCTGATTGCTTACCTTGTCTGTCACCTTTTTCAGCAGATCCCCTAGCTCGGCGACTTGGAGGACTCCTACTACATGGTTTGTATCGCGTTTGACCAAGCCTGAAACTACAAGTGAGCTTCAAGTGAAATTGATACATTACCTTGTGCATCTCCACCAGTTAAAGATACCATCCCTGGATGGAGGAAGAGTACTTCCAGAGAAGATGCCACATCTACCTACGAGACAGATAAGGCAAGTCAAGACGATATCACACTCCGGTACTTAGAAGTTTCGTGATTACGAGATCATTCTCCCACAATATTTCCTAATGTCATTTGTACTAAATCATTCACTTGTACTCACTAAAAGAGAGCTTGAACCTATGTACTTGTGTAAACCCTTCACAATTAATGAGAACTCCTCTATTTCGTGGACGTAGCCAGTATGGGTGAACCACGTACATCTGGTGTTTGCTTTCCTATCTCTATCCATTTATATACTTATCCACACTAATGACCGGAGCAATCTAGCGAAGATCACAAAAAGCGACCGTTTTCGCTACCTAGGATCTATCTTGCAAGAGAACGGAGAATTAGATGGAGATCTCAACCATAGAATACAAGCTGGATGGATGATGGATGAAGTGTAAGAGTGCATCCGGCGTGTTGTGTGACCGTCGTAGGTCACTGAAGCTCAAGGGAAAATTTTATAGGACGGCAATAAGGCCAGCGATGTTGTATGGCATATAATGTTGGGCGGTGAAGCATCAACACGTACACAAAATGGGTGTAGCGGAGATAAGGATGCTTCGTGGGATGTGTGGGCACACGAGAAAGGATAAGATTGTGAATGAGGATACCCGAGGTAAAGTAGGAGTAGTCGAAGTTGAAGGAAAGATGAGAGAAAATCGGTTACGGTGGTTTGGACATGTGCAAAGAAGGCCTACTGACGCTCCGGTTCGAAGATGTGACTACGGAACAGAGGTTCGGGGCCGAAGGGGTAGAGGAAGACCTAGGAAAACTTTGGAAGAGACCCTAAGAAAAGACTCAGAGTACTTGGATCTAACAGAGGACATGACACAAAACCGAGCGCAATGGCGTTCTAGGATTCATATAGCCGACCCCCTTAGTGGGAAAAGACTTTGTTGTTGTTGTTGTTGTTGTGGAAGTGTTTTATAAAAGGAAATAGTGACAAAGTGAGAATAAATTTGTAAGTTTGGTGTTTAAATTTTTAATTATGAGTCATGGTTGTAAACAAGACAGATAATTGAAGGATTACGATAGGTGGTAGTTAAATAATTGAGAGAAATCCTTTGTGGTGATTTTGTACTAAAGAAAGGAATTTAGTAAATAATTTGAATCTTTACCTTATGGTTATTTAATTAAAGGTTGGTTTTGAATTTCATGTAAGGATTAGTGAATTGAATATAGTAGAAAATAAATAATTAATGGTAGTCAACTAAACATGATTTTTAGGTTTGGCCTATCACCAATAATATTCCCGAAAATAACAAATATTTTGGAACGGGGCGTTACAGTTTTTGCATTGAACATTGATTTGTGTGTTGAGTTGAAGGTCCTCTGGCTTTGCAACTCCTTGGAATATTATGTTGATATACTTGAAATTATCTTCAATTTCCTCATGGCCAATCCATCCCCCTTATCTCCTTTGAACTCATCAAGTATAAACTTTATTTAATTCATAATCAAGTCCAAACCTCAAACGTGATTATATCCAGACTACTAGAGATAATTGCATGCACCACATATCTAGCCATCACCTCAAAATGAGTCCGTATTGCATGAAACATTAGACTCCTTAGTTAGCCCTATTCTTAAGCTCTTTCAAGATAATTTCCAATGTACTATGATTATTAAAACCATAATAATATCTAGAAAAGTTATTAAAAATCATCTTGGTCTTCTTTTAATCTAACGGCTCAAAGCGTATGGGATATGGGCCTATAGTGCAAATAAGGTATAAACCGAATGAGACTAATAAGGATATAATGATAAAAATTATAGATGAGTCATGAGAGTAATCAAATGTAATTTAACTTTGATTAATTTTTCATGTTCTTAACTGTTCTTTAGAGACATGTTTGAACATTTGTTTATATCCAGAAATTGAATTGCCCGAACTTTTTGGCAAGATTCTGATGCAATGCAGGTATGGAATTTTGCCCATATCATTCCCAGATGCATCAAAACGAGGCTCATGAACTTAGATTATATTTTATCACTAAAACTTTGCTTACGAGCGACATAATTAACGTCTTGTTTTTCACTTGAGTGGTATCTGTTCAAATTTTCTCATGTGATGTTCTTGAACAAATGCCCTTCCACTTTGGCAGGATTGCGAATTCAATTCAATCATGTTACGATGCTAACTGATCTTATACATTAAGGGGGTGTTTGTTTGCCTCACTAACTGCCACTAGACTAGATTGGACTGACTATTAGTCCAGTCTGTTGTTATTATCATGCGGGATGCGGGACTACACTAAGAGGTCTTAGTGAGCCCTCCCTCCCCCCCCCCCACTAGACTAGATTGGACTGACTATTAGTCCAGTCTGTTGTTATTATCATGCGGGATGCGGGACTACACTAAGAGGTCTTAGTGAGCCCTCCCTCCCCCCCCCCCCCCCCAAAAAAAAAAAACTACGGGATTGCTAATCCTGTCTCCTTCTTCTACAAGAAGCGTCGCGCGAACCTGCATGAGTAACATCAACCCTCTCTTCTCCAGTGACCAAACCAAAAACCTTTGTCGCCAATCTCCATCGTCCCGTAAACCCAATGCCCTTTTGGCATCTGGGTCAGTGATTTAGGGTCTTTTGCCATCTGGGTCGACCTGAATGACAATAAAAACAGGTCTGATGGTGACCTAGATTCTTCTGCCGACAACAAGATTGAAAACTTTAGCATGGGTACAGTGATTCTGAGTGATTTTTCTTGACCAACTATGATTTTCCCAAAAAATACAGATACCAAATCTGAAGAAAAAAGAAAAAAGAAATACAAAGAGAGTGATGGGAGAGGGGACAGTATACAGAGATGAAACGAGAGAAAAAAAAGGGAGGGGAGGGAGACGAGGATGATTCTAGAAACAAAATATTAATATATAATAAAATATTAATAGATTTATATTAAATTAATATAATATTGCAATCCTACTTCTTAGTCCGAAACTACACCAAACACTTCACTAATTTAGTCCAGTTTAGTTTATTCTAAGCCAGTCCAGTCCGAGATAGTTCGGTGCAACAAACGCACCATAAACTCGACATTGCACGTTCAACAGCTTTGGAAGAGGATATACCAGCAAAAACTGTAAGTTGCTTGACTAAGGATGTCTTTAGTATTGGGAAAAATGATTTCATTGATTAAAGAAATAAGATTACATTTTGAGCATATATACAACTGATTTAAGCGCACTAGTAATGAAAGCTCACTCTAACTAGCCAAAACTAACATAACCCAAAATAATAAACTTAACAATATCTAAGTATCATTAACAGAATCTTTTACAATATTCTCCTTAATATCCCTCCCCAAACTGAGCTGAGATTTTCGAAGAAAAAGTTTGTCTCGAAGAAGATTGAACCTCAACTTGGATAGAGCTCTGATACCATAATGGAAAATATGATTTCGTGATTAAATAAAAAGAAAGAGTAGAATTGATCCAGAGAGAATATTCTGATCATTTTCGAATCAGGCCATGTATTTTGGATTCAAGGTTGAGATGCGATTTCTAGAGGCATCAAGAAGAAATTTCGATCCATCGATGATGCCGGTGAGATTGTAGTGGTGGAAAATCGGAGCAAACAAGGCACTCCAGATCAAGTAGTTTGTAGTTGTGAGCTTGATGGGAACCATAGATCCAATATTCTGAATTGTAATAGAAGAGATTGAAGTAGTATTAGAGGTGTTAGGGCTTGGATTCATGGTTGGAGAAGGATGAATCTGAGATGCAGAATCAGATGAATGAGAAGCAGGTGGCCATTTCCAAGGCCTAGGGTTTGCAGAGGCAAGCAAAGGATGAAGATCCAATTGAAGAGGATGAAAATTCGAACTAGAGAAGGAGGGAAGCGTGATTTGGATCGGGTCGCTAGACAGAGGTAGGCGATGCTATGTTACAAATATATGATTTCATTGATTAAAGAAATAAGATTACATTTTGAATATATATACACCCATTTACACACGGTAGTAATGACAATTTCTAAGTCTTATCTTTAACAGAATAATTTACAGTATTCCCCTTAAAGCCTAAGATTCCTCCAAACTAAGGAGCATAAAGCAAGCAAGATTGTCAACCTCGAGCCCCGTGACTACTGCGGATGGAGGACCACGGCGACGCCTCTGCTCCATCTCTTTAACTGCATCAGGGTTCCCGGAAAGCAGTGTTCCAAAGACCCATCAATCCGGTTCCGAACCCAACCTTTCAAGCCTAATTCAGTTGCATCCCGCACAGTGCAGTCCCCGTAAAACACACCCTGCACTCTCCCTTTTATCACCACCCTCACCTGCACATCCAAAACCAAAAACCGATTCCTTAATAAATAAAAATTCCATTCACAACTGTAAATTAAGAGACACCCATCACTTTAAACTGATAAAAATACTCAAGATCAAAACTTTACATTAAATCAAAGACGAAAGAGGAGGTGGACGAGGTCTGCGCAGAGAAAAAAGATGAGGACGAGGAACAAGAGGAGGATAGCAAAGCGAAATAGGAGAAGGAAGAGGATGACGGAGAGGATTACGGCGATTGGGGACGACGAGTCTAAGAGCAGGAACACCGGCATCTGATCTGATGGATGGTTGTGGCTCCGACTTCGAGATGTGAAGAATGTCAATGGCCTCCCACAGATTGCTGATGCCATTCAAGTTTCTTTGCGTTGAATATTTATCCATGTCAACATCTACAGTGCGTGTGTTTCTTCAGGAGGTTTCCTAATAATCCCTCCCATGTTTGCTACAAGAAGTGGAGATCTTGGGTCGTTTTGCATTTGCAAATGATGATGCCTCCGACTCTGAGGGACCATCAAGTTTGATTTGAATGCAGTATTTTGCTACTTCAGGCCCAATTCAGTTCCTCCGACTAAAAGAAAATTGAAAGGTAAATAACTTCAGCACTTCCCTTTTTCTTTTTCTTTTTTATGCTTGTTTCTTTTTAAAATTTTTTTTTTTTAGGAACTTTAATGAAAAGTTTATAGTACAGTTTATTTTAATGAAAAATTACATTTTTATATTAAAAATCAATCTTGATACTATTTACTTTACATTTTATTTTGTTATTAACTTATTATAGTTAAAACTCAAAATTTTTGAAACATTTTTTATTAATTTTTTTTTTTTGTCTAAGGGGTTACTTTATTAACAAAGCAAAACAATTACATAATAGAAGGCCCATATACCATAACAACACAAGCAAAAGAATGGACCTTCAAAGTAACCCAAGAGCCCAAAACAAAACAACACTGAAATAAACCCCAACATCGTCCTCCTACTGACGCCATTGTAAGCGTCGCACTCCCACAACAAGCACGAGCCACCACTTGCCGAAAGCCCAACCAAATAGCACCTTAGAGATGGAAGGAAAGTAGATTCTGTCCTTCATCAGATAGCATCTCGTAGATAGCAACCACCAGGTTAGGAAAACCAAAGAAGCTCGTGGAATTACCACTAGCAACATTGCCAAAAAAAGGCAGACAGAGAAAAGGTGGTGGTGTGGCCACCCGAGCTAGTGTGAACATCGAACTTTACGCACCTTTTCATAGAAGGACCGCACCAAATCGCTGTCAAAAGTGATTGCAGAACGGCTCTGGGATGAAATCCATGGAAGACAGAAAAAGGGGCATGCAAATGAAGGTATGGATGTAGGACAAGAAGATGGAAGGTAAATATGCAGATGGATGGATAGGGAAAAGGAAGATCGGATCTGAGGCAGCAAGAGGCAATTAGGGTGGAAAGGCAAAGCAGAACATGAAGGAAAGCAGGGAAAAAGTAACAGAAGTACAAAAAGAGAAGGCAAAGAGGAAAAGAAGGGATTGCCACCGACCCTAAACTGAAATAGCGCCGGCGGCTGAAGGAGAAACCTTAGTTTTGTTGCTGCTCTCACTCAAGGAGAGACCTTAGTTTCCTTATGCACTCTTTCTTTTGTTTTTGTTGTTGGCTTTTCCATTAACTTATTCAATCAATTGGTTAGATAATGTTCAGTGAAACTTCCACTAGATGTATACAACTTAATCAGTCCTGCATTCCTAATGTCCTCATTTTTAGAACATGTGAGGTCTATATGCAAATTAACCATAATATTATATTAGTTTAAATTCAAAAGCTTAACATATTTGACAACTTAATAAAGAAAAACCAACTTAAAATCCATAAACCATTTGAAAACTCGTTGTCATGTTTTGTTTTAGTAGGTTGTCAAACATTTTAAGACTTTGGATCTAAACTAAAATAATTTTGTAGCTAATATGTATTTAGACCTCATAAGTTTTCAAAATAAGGACCTTAGGAGAGCAGGACTCTTCAATCAATTGGCTAGAAAATGTTCCGTGAAATTTCCACCGAATGTATACAAGTGTGTTGATATTTCCAACAAATGAGCACATGATAACAATAATGTGATAATAGGGATAGACACATTGTTGTATAAAGAAATTCTTTTTATATTTACTTTTAGTAGAGCAATGCTTACAACCATTATTACTATAGTTTAGTGATATTTATTTTTATTTGGGAAATTTTTTGAAATGTCATATGAACTTGTACACCTTTTTCAGTTTGTCATAGAAACTAAAATTTTAAGCAATTTGTCATATCAACTTTTCGAAAATCATCAATTTGTCATCTTATCCTAACTCCATTAAGTTTTCTAACCAAAATAAGTCATGTGCCTCCCACATGACTTGTGTTCAGGGTTATTTCTATTATTTTAAGATCTTTTTACAAGTTCTTTATTTTTCTTTAGTAAAACCCTTTAAATTTTGTGTTCGATGGTATTCATGCGGATCGTTGTGTTCGAGCAACGTATATGCATCTACAACTCCAATTCTGGCACCAAACCTCAACCCGTTTCTCATATAACAAAGTCCATATAAAATTCGATTTCATGACATACTAAGTGAACACACCCACTTATGTATCTTAAGCATATTTTGAGCAACCATACGAGAATGCAGTGCATATGATCATTTCATTGTTACCATATAAAAATATTGTTCCATTGCGTGATTATGTTCAAAATCAAAAAGACCAAATACTGAGGAAAGACTGGTTAAAGTTCACAACCTTGTCTTCATAAAAAGAAAAAAAAATGACATTAACCAAATGTCTAAATGAAGAAACCCTAGAATTGGGGCTTTAGAAACCCTAGAATTGTTTTGATCAAATGCAACTTACTAGAAGGATGTGGAGTGTCAAAATGACAGAAATAACCCTGAACACGAGTCATGTACCACGCACATGACTTATTTTGGATGGAAAACTTAACGGAGTTAGGGTAAGATAACAAATTTCAAAATTTTAGTTTATATAACAAATTGAAAAATGTGTACAAGTTTATACGACATTTCAAAATATTTCTGTTTCTATTTTTAAGTGAGAAATTTCAAATCCGGCTCTTACAAGTTTATATGACTAATTGTGACCTAGCCTTGTATAATTTTTTTTGTGAATGGCCCATGCTTACAAGCCGCCATAAGTTTCTTTTAGTTCGGGTGGCCTTCTTCCTAGAAAATAAAAAGGTCTATATGAAGCCCAAAGGTAAAAAGGCCTGGCCCAAAAAGTTTGGAATGAGCTCATGTTTTAGACTTTTGGAGCCCATCTCACTCCACCTCCGGCCTCACCTCCCGAACTTTAATGAAATCATCCTGTAATTTTATTTAATGAAAATAACTTAAATTTATTTGAATAAAAAATTATTATGACTTAAACTTTAATGAAAATGACAAAAGTTTAATATAATAATAAAAAAGGTCTTGTGTCATTCACACACTATTTATGAAACTGACCAGTACTACACTATTTATAAAACTAAACGGTATTACAGTATTTCTAAAACTGAACAATACTACATTATTTCTTAAAACTTAACGGTACTACACTATTTTTTAAACTAAATACTATTTTTGAAAACTCAACACTAATTATTTTTGAAACTAAACGCGAATATTACCCTATTTCTAAATATGAACACGGGAACTACACTATTCTTAAAACTGAACACATATTCATGCACACATATGGGGCGTTCTTTATTGTAAATACAAATACAAATTTGCGTTTTCTTCCCATTTTTTGGGTGCTTATTGAATTTCATCTCATTGTAGACATTGAAATTTTGGTGGCATAAATGTTAGCCATTGCATTAAGATTATTTGTAAACATTGAAATTTTGGTGAAATAAATGTTGACCATTGTATTAAAATTACAACCTTCATTCACTTCACCTACATCATACACTAAGTTCACCTACAAACATCCACCAAGTTTCACCTACAAACATCCACCAAGTTTCACCTACAACATCCACCCAAGTTCACCTACAACATCCACCAAAATTCACCTACAACATCCACCAAAACAAATGGATGGTGGTGATTCATTCCCAAAGCCTATAAATAGGCTCCTCCATCAAAGAATCAAGGGAGGATTTTTTATATACACTTTCTCTACTCCCAAATTGGAAGAGAATTTACACCATACCAAAGCCTTGAAGCCTCGAAACTCTGAAGCTCTCAAGCAAATCCCGAAGGATCAAGAAAGCCCTCTTCGTTCTTCGTGAAATCCTCCTTCAAGATCAAGCCCCAACGCCCCTTGAAGAACTTCCACCGATTCAAGATCAAGCCCCGACGACTCTTGAAGAAGGTGTTCATCATTCATCAACTGTTTGTCCAAGATCAAGCCTCGACGGCCCCTGGATCAACAACACTACATCTACACGTTTCAAAGATAGAATCAGAGGCTAAATTTGTAGAAGAGATGGTAACCCTTAAATCATTAATACAAATATTATTTTGTATACGTGTTCTTGTCTCATTCATCGCAGGAATTTCCGTGTTTACAAATTTGGCACGCCCAGTGGGACAGTTTCTACCTGTTATCTCTATCTTTGAATCCGCAACAAGCACAAATGGCGTCAAAGAAGGCCTAAGTTGTTCTCGCTGCCGATGCAAGAAACAAGAATGTCATCACGGCAGAGGGCGTCACTTCAGGCATTATAACTCGAAGCCAGGCAAAAGCTCTTTCTGCCGCCTCTGCATCAACTCCGCTGAAGGCACAAGAGCACCCGAGGCATGAACCGGTGATCACCCTGGCCTCGCTCAGGGCGCCAAGAGAGGAAAGCCAAAGGAAGTACTCTGAATCTTTACTTTCCGATGCCGACTCAAGCAGCGGCATAGCTATGCAAGTCATGGTTACTGGAGCGACTTCAATTGAGGAGCAACTGGCTCAGATGAATGAAGCGATCATAAAACTCACAAGGACTGTGGAGGACAAAGACCTGCAAATCGCAGCACTCGTTAACCAACTAGATGCAAAGCCCGATGGGAAAGTCAAGCAAGGGGATAATCCAGTAAATAAGGAAAACGACGAGGATGAGGAGCATTCAGTGGAGAACGTCGAAGAGAAGCTGAAGCCAGACCAAGTGGCGACGCTCATGGGATCTCTCTCTATCCAGCAGCTGCAGGAGATGATCGCCAACACCATCAAGGCGCAGTATGAAGGAAGCTTACATGATTTCGTACTATACTCAAAGCCCTACTCCAAGAAGATTGATGCTTTGAAGATGCCGATGGGTTATCAGCCACCAAAGTTCATGCAGTTCGATGGGAAGGGGAGCCCGAAGCAACATGTCGCCCACTTCATTGAAACCTGCAGCAATGCTGGAACAGAGGGAGACTACCTCGTCAAGCAGTGCATGCGCTCACTGAAAAGCAACGCCTTGGACTGGTACACCGACCTCGAGCCCGAGTCTATCAACAGTTGGGATCAGCTAGAAAGGGAATTCCTCAACTGCTTCTACAGCACGCGCCGCACCGTAAGCATGCTGGAGCTGACCAGTACGAAACAGTGGAATGAGGAACCTGCCGTCGACTACATCAATAGATGGCGTTCATTAAGTCGGGATTGCA